GAAAAAATATGTTCTATTCTTATATTTTGTCCATTTTTCTACAAGAAAATAATATTATGTCAATATTAAAAATTAAATATGTATGAAAATAAATATTTTATGTGTGATTATGAATAGTATATAAAAAAATATGTAGTATTTTTTTTAATTATTTACAAGTTATTTTAAGAAAATAAAATATATTTGCCCTAATAAACCATTTTTTATGCCAAAAAAATAATAAAAAATAAAATAAAAGTGTGGAAATGAATAAATTATTTTTGGGTATTTTTTATCATTAGAAAAAATGGATTCAAGTAATAAATATAAAAATATGCAAGAAAATGCAAAAATATAAGAAAATAGTCAGGGGGTGCAAAGGTAATTCAGGGGGTGTGAAAAGCAAAAGCAAAAAGGGCCAGGCGCGCCAAAAAGCCCAGATGCTTCGTCCCTGACCTCCATCTTCTTCCTCGCGCGCGTTTTCAACTCAAATCTATAACTTTCACATGCTTGCACAAAAACAAAAACTTGTAACATGAAACTTGTGGCATTTTATCTCACGATTCCAACCATATAAAATTTGTAATCTAAATCTAAAAGATCAGGGAGAATTTTAGCAGCCCTAATTCGTGACCTAATTATTTCAGCAACTTCAAGTTTCAAATTCTCTTAGCTCAGTTAATATAAATGAAAAGTATGCATATGTACAGCTTCACCATGTCATGGACTACATCTTTTCTTCACAAATCGTGGCTTGAAGTTGCCTAAATAGAGAGATAGAGTTTTGAAAACTACCTCCTTCAGCTGGATTTGGATATGACAATGTGGGGACTTTGAGGGAGGCATGAAGATCGTGTGAGCTTCCTTGAACTTCCTTCAAACTATTCCAATACCTAGCTTGCTTTGTGGATGGCCAGAACTCTCTGTAGAAGTCAAGTTGCAAGCTTCCAAAATAAAAATGGCAATGGTTGAAATAGGGGTTACAGCAACAATGTAAAGGCTTGGATAGCTTTAATATGATGTGGATAAGATGTTTCAAGTGTCAAGCCACAAAACGCACGAGCAAAAAATGAGTTTGCTATGGTTTTGCAGAAACTGGATGTTTTGGCAGAATTTTGTGTTTTTTGAGTTTGAGAGTGTTTTGGATGCAAAGTGATCGTGTTTAGCCTTGTAATGACTTGGTATATTTGTATAGAATTATACAAAATCCACTCCTTATCAGTTGTACATGTTTTGACCTCTTTTGCAACTTTTCTTGCATTTGAAGAAAAGTGAAGTGACCAATGCAAACATGCTTGTACTGGCTGGCTTGTGAGCTGCAGAGAGTTGGTACAAATTTCTTAAGATCTGTGGAAGTTGTTTGTACCAAAGGATAGGTCCAGGGCTCAAGGTTGATAAAGTTACAAAAGCTCACTTTATGAAAATGGCATTGTAACTTTTATGCTTAAAATGGAAATGTAACTTTGTACAATGCTTCAAAAGTGAAAATAAAGACTTTAACCTATGAGTTTGCATTTAATTATGGAGTGTAGAATGATTTTAGGACCTGTAATGCAAGGTACAAGCATCATGGATCTGATTTGCAACTTGATACTTTGTGAAAATGGCATGAACAAAAGTGATAAAATGTCAATTTCTCTTCTTCGATTCTCCCTAACCACAAATGATCTTGGAGAGTTCTTGGACATTTTAGAAAGCTTGCAATGTGATCTATAATCCATGTTTGAAATGAATTTTGAGATACCTCTTGGAACTATGTGAAACATTTCCATGAAGTTGGGTAAAAAAACTGCCTAAATTAGGGCAAATTTTCACTAAGTTATTTAGTTCATGGACCTATGTTCATAAATTCATAACTTGAGATCCAAGCATCTTTTGGGAAAAGTTTGTGAAGAAAATTTGTATATTTCATGGAGAACTACAACTTTCATGTTGGAATTTTTCTTTGAATAAAATTGCATCATGGTGAAAAAATGGTGAAAAGTTGGGAAAAAATAAGAAAATTTCCATACTGAGAAAAATTCTAAGTTATGAAATTTTTCAAATTCAAAACCCTAATTTTCAAAATTGGTTTTCTTGGTCAACAAGTTTCATATTTTGACATATCTAGATGAATTATGACCATTGGCACTTGATTTTGACCAAAAAGTCAAAGTTTTACTTTTAGTGTACAGTTGACCTTTGATCGGTTGACTGCAAAATTCATCTGTCAATCCAATGAACTTGAGATCTTTTGAACTATGTAATTAGGTCAAGATGATGCCATTGAATCCTTGAAATCATGTTTGAACCCAATTGGCCATTGGCTAGGTTAAAAATCAGAAATTGCCCTTTCTCAGTCAAAACCCTAATTTTGACCATTTTGCCCTTTTGATGATTTGATCAAATTTCTTGAGTTGTGATCCAAACTTGATCAAATGGTACATATGAGTCTAAAATGTTGTTTTAGATCAAAAATTATGAAGTTTGACTGTAAATTGGCCATGGTTGACTTTTTCCCTAATACAGTTGATTTTTAGGTCAACTGTTCAATTGACTGATCAAAAATGTGGTTCAAGGCTTGAAACTTAACATGAGCAATCTTAGGGATCCAAGATGATGTATGAAATTGACATGAAGCATTGATGGTCCAAAAATCCTTGTGCAAACTCAAACCCTAATTTTGGGTTATTAGTACAAGATGAGATGTCTTAAGCTGACCAAACCCTAATCTTGTCTTGAGTCCAAGAAGTCTTGTGAGGGAAATCTTGATAAATGAGAAGGAAAATTTTGGGGTACAAGACCCATCCACCCGCCGCCGACGACTTCCGGAGCTCTGATGGCCTCCGATTCTAGCCCATCCAAACTGACTTTTCCAGATTTTCAACTTTTCGACTTTTTGATCAACTTTCTGAAACTTTCGATTTTCATGGTATATGAAATCTCCAAAATATGTTTTCTTTCTCTAAATTAACAAAGGTTTTAAAGCATATTCCAACAGTGTATTACTATTCTTTTTATGATGCAGAAATTGACACTGATGGGTGTAATCGTTAAACCGATGACAAATGAGGATGATGAATTTCTTGAAAGAATTTATTTTGGTGGTGCGAGCATAAAATAAAGTTGTTTGGTCGCTCATATCCATACCCAAAATGAGATGATAGTTCCTTCTGACGATTCTTTAAGAAAAATGGTATGTTTGATGATGGACCTTAAAAATTTAATTCCTCTTCAATTAGAGCATGATCGAGAGATAGAGGTTTTTATGTCGATCTTAAAGATATAAGGGATTTTTTGGTTGGGCATGAGTGGTTGGACGCTGGGATATTACAGTTGGTGTGCACGTAAGTATAATTTATATTCTAATAAATGTCAATTTTAAATTTGTGCACATCAGTAATTTTAATCATAAGACTCACTTATTTTTTGAATTTTATTTAACCATTTAGGTACATGCATCATTTTTGTATAAAATCAAATAAATCATATATTTATAGACATTATTCTCACAAGACTTTAAAGACGTTCGTACACATTGGACATCTTGCTTCAATGTAATTTATAGGTCAGACTGATCACATTGATTTTATAATATATGTTTGCAAAAAATTTGAATTTGATGTAAATAATATGTATGTTTGTTTAATATTTTGGTACTATATTGAAGTCATATTTAGTTCTTACATATAATGTATACATATGAGTCATATAAGCCATATTTTGGTTTTTAAAAAATGTGCATTTGTTGGTTCATATTTTGTTATGGTAAAAAAATTGATATATACATTACAGGTAATAAAAATGGGGCACATATGAAATATCAAAAAACCTATTTAAAAAAATAAAGTATTTCACCACAATTTCAACTGTCAATCGTGGTGAAAATGAAGCGCCAAATATATATATATATATATATATATATATATATATATATATATATATATATATATATATATATATATATATATATATATATATATATATATATATATATATATATATATATATATATATATATATATATATATATATATATATATATATATATATATATATATATATATATATATATATCATGGTATGGTTGAAAATCGAACTCATGACCTTTAAACATTTTATCATAGTTATTTAAGATGACCATGGTGAAATGGGAAATGAATCCTCTATTACTGGACAGCAGTGCAACTCTAGTTTTGTGAGGATAAAGAGAGAGAAATTGGAAATCAAAAAAGAATTGGTGAAGATGACAGAGAGAGAGAGAGAGAGAGAGAGAGAGAGAGAGTAAAATGATGAGAAAGATATGAACAAAAATAGGACACGGGGGAGGGTTGTAGAGGAATAGCGGCAGATGATCTAAATCCGGTGAAACGTGGCGCGCTATCTAATTTATCACCACGATCATACGTCCGTGGTGAAAAGTATCATATTTACTACCACGCCTTGCGTTATCTCAGTTCATCAACCGTAATAATTTTTTTTAAACGTAGTAAAAGATTTATTTTTTTTAGTAGTGAAAGGACTTGTAAATTTTATCATAAGTAGAATAGATTAGAAAAGTCAAATAATTAAAGATTTATCGAGACTTAAAAATTCTAAAAGAGAAACTATTAAAAAAATCACAAAATCAATCTAATTAGATAAAACATAGTATTAAATAGCGTGTAGTCAAGCCCACTTAATGTAGATAAAGCTTTAGTGATTAAATATCTGCAGGGACAGAGATAGAATACTAAGTATATTAAATACTGAAAATAGGTATGAATTATATTGAAAAGTAGAAAGCTTGTGCCATTTATTTCACCAAACAATGACATAATACAATTACATTTATTCCACCAAATATACAATTCAAATTACAACAAATACAACTAAATAATTGACACTCTTAAAAAACATATTATAGTGACACATTCTGAAACCCCTCATAATTGTCATTGTCGCGAAATTTATAGACACCTCTGACAATTAAGCGGACAAAGTGAAAAACACAAACCGATGCAACTAACGAAGCCCAAACATGATTAGCAAGACCAAACACATTAGAAAAAAAGAGATTTCCAAATAGAGTTTGGTGTAACCATCTTAGCAGCAAACACGTAGGAAAGAGCAAGGTTTGTCAGTGTGACAGACATTCCAAATGATAGAGCCCATACTGGAAGTGGTTTTTCAATAGGAATTCCACTAGCAAGCAACACAAGAACACTGAGTGCTGCAATGAAACAAATTGTATTGCATACCAGAAATGCAAAATAATAATTTTCTTTTGAAATGGCTAAGACAGCTTCTCCGGCACATATATAAACTCCGGTCTTATTCGATGACCGATTTGCACGACGCCTCCGGGTGGATTAGTGGCGAGTGAAAATGATACAGTAGCGATTATAGAAACTGTTAAACCTATGCTACTTTTCATTTCTTTTATCCATTCTCCTTTATCTTTCTATTCAAACCACTTTGCTGCACGCTCTAAGAACTTCTTACCACTAGATTTCTGAGGATTCTCTTGATGAATATTCATACTCATTATATTGATTTGATTTTTTATTATCAATATCAATTCTCTAACCTTGCTTGAATGTTTGTTATCAATATCAATTCTCTAACCTTGCTTGAATGTTTGTTACAAGTTAGAAGAGAGCATGTATATATAGATGATTTAATTTTGGTTGGTACAAGATGTTTTCATAGATTTTGGTATTATGTGAAGTCTATTACTTTTCACTATAATTGTCTATCAAGTATTATTTTTTAATATTTTTAGTTGCTACAATTGCTTTTATTAGTGTTTGATAGAGAGAAATACATGTTTATTATTTTTAGTATGTATTAATTAAATAAAATGTGTCCACAATTTTTTTTATTCTATACAATATTTATTGATAAAGATACTTATAAATCATATTATTAATTTAATTTATAAAATAAAAGATGTGTGTGGGTGTAAACTAGTTTTTTATCATTAAAATTATAATATTTTATTATGTCATATCAATATTTTTAAATTAAAAAATATGACTTGATTGAATATACATATCTGATTGATTTTTACACTTTCCATGCATTTTTTTTCTCAAAATATAATATTACTAAATTAATATAATATAATAGAAAGAAGAAAAAATCAAAAAAAAATTCAAAGATGGTACATTTCGGTACTTGATAAAGAGAAATAAATATTTATTATTTTTTGTATCTATTAATTAAAATATGTGTTCATAAATTTTATTTTATTTTACTACTACAGAAAATTCATTTAACAACGATTGGAAAAGATATATAGTTACGTGAGATCAGACGTTATTATGTAGCGTGTAGTTGTATATGTGGTACTTATAATCATGGTTTTGAGATCGTTGTTGTATTCTAGAAAACGCGCCATATCATAATGGTTCTTTAACTCAATTGTGTGATAGAACTAAAGGTCACAAGTTTGATTCTTAGCATCAATATTTTGTAATTTATGTTATTTTGGTCATCGTTCAATATTCAATCACGGTTAGATTCTGCTTCTCAAATTCTTCTCATTTTTTATCCTATAACTATTATAGCCATATCAGAGAATTTACAACAGCTCTTATTTTTGTTAACCATACATAAAGAGCATAAAAACAGCTAACATTGTGCATCAAAAGACAAAATTAATATTTACATCAAACACAATATGTTTAAGTCAAAAGTAATATTCACATCATCATATACAGAAAATAAGTCATTAGCACATCTCAATAAATCAAATAGCAAGACCCTTAAGCACATTGTGGATATACGTCTAACGTTTACGAAGATCGACAAAGTCCTCAATGGACAATGGGGTTACGTCGTTAAACATCTACATAAGAAAGAGCAAAAAAGTGTTTAAAATATATGTCAACTTATATATTCTTATAAAATAAAGAGAAAGAAGAGAGAAAGATGCAAATAGTTCTGTATTATTTCATCGGTGTAATTGTATACAATGAGATTGATCCTATTTATAGGACATCATATAGACAATATAATAAATGCAAATTGATTAAATAAGGAATGAAGTTATTGAGAGACAAATCATCCAATTATTCATAACACTCCCCCTTGGATGTTTGTTTTGGATATGCCTCGTTAAAACTTTACTAAAAAAAATACTGCGGAAAAAAATATAATGAAGGAAAAAGAGCACAATATCCTTTGAATGATAACTACCTCGTTAAAAACCTTACCATGAAAATCCAGTGGAACAAAACCATGGTAAAGGGAAAAAGAGTGTTGAACATATTTATTTCCCCCCTCATGCATACATTTATATGTGAGACAATATTCTTTGTAGTAGTTGCTTAAAAGTTACTTAATGCAGTGCTAATAGTTATGAAGGATTTGATGAAGTTGTTGCCATAAGTTGTTTCATAGATCTCCATAAAATTGTTGTACATCCACAAGTAAACAAGTGACATATTTGTGATATACCATTATAAGGATCAGATAAGTAACATAAACCTCTATGGTAATAAAGTATTTGTCTGACTTTGTTTCAACTTCTTTGTGTAGGTGAAGAAATATATATTTCTAATAGGTTGATAGAAATTGATATATCATGGAAAGTATACTTAGCAAGATACATCAGTGCTTGAATTACACTAAGATATGGTACTTCTAAAACAATTAGTTTTCCTCATCTTCTCGAGGTCGGAAAAAGTCTTATCCAAATTCATGGTCTAACATCGTAGGGATAGACAATATTTGTCCATATACGAACATTTTAACACCTTTTCTATATAAGGTTCTTAATGTAGAAATATTCTAATATCCAAATGCTTAATTTGTAAACATAGACAGAACTTTGTCTTTTCTATGTCCTTTATCCCAAACCATTTCTTTAAGAGATTTATAAATTTTTGAATCTCTTCAAGAGTTTCAATAATTTTATGTCATCCACATATACAATTATTATAGAAAATAATTTTCTAGACTTTTTTCATAAAATTACAATGACATGTGTATTTATTTGTATATCTCTCCCTTAGCAAATATCTATTGAGACAACTGTTCAATTTGATGGAGTAGCTTTCTCGAGATCCAAAATTATTTATATCTGGGATATTAAATGCTTTAGCGAGTTTCAGTAAATGTCATTATCAAGTGAGTCGTATAAGTAAGATGTCACAACACCCATCATGTTCAAATAAAGCCCTTCACGTGTTACAAGGCTAATTAAAATTTGAAAACTAATTGAATTCACTACAGGTGGATATGTTTCATCAAAATCAATCGTAGGTCTTTGTGAAAATCCTGAGCCACAAATCAAGATTTATATTCTTATTTTACTTTTTCACAAAAAAAACTCATTTATATCCAATTGGTTTCACACCTCGAGGTGTTTGGACTACAGATCCAAAAGCGAGTCTCTTGTAAAATGGATTTAATTCTTCTTCATTTGGATCTGTTCATTTTGGCTAACTCTCACTTTGTCTACGATCTTTGATAGAATTTGATTCACGATCCTCATTATCATTTATCATATTTTGAGCTATATTTCATCCAAAGATATCATCAATATTGACTTTATTTTGGTTCCATCATGTTCTATTTATGACATAATTTATCGAGATCTCTTTATTTCATAAATTTCAGAATATTCATGTCCTCACTTGGGTCATCTTTAATTTTAGCTTATTTACTTGGTAGAGCATTATTAATATTGAAATCAACTTTCCTACCATGCTTCATGCACGATTTTAATTTATTTGCACTATTAAATAATCCAACAGGAAAATCCATTTCGATTGGAGTATTGGCATCTATAATTGGTTGTATAAAATTTGCAAATGAATAATCTTTTAAACTTCTGGTTCATATTGGTTTGTACGAGGATCAAGATCTAAAATTGTTCGTTTGAACTTCTTGTTCATGATTTCAGTTGCGTATTGGCTCCCTCTAATATTGGGAAAATTAATTTATCAAGTGATAATCAGTTTATTGGGCTGCAATCAAGTATTTTATTATTTTACCAAATTATATCCTCAAAATTGGGATTCATATCAAATATATTTTTTTAATATTCTTTTAGGACTCGTCTTAGTGTGTTATATTGGAGCAATTAAAAAATGCACAACACATCCAAAAGTTCACTATGAAGAGAAGTATCAGGTTATTAACCGGAAATACATTACATCAAGGAAGGAGAAATGCATCACAATGTGTTGGCTTGATGCGAATAAGTTTCTTAATACCATACTTTGGGTGTTTCAAATATATAATTTAGAATTGATGATTTTATAAGTATCAACCATATAATTAACTTTAGACGTCTAAAGAATGGATCTTCAAGCCCTTTTTTTTATGAACATATATTACGTGATGTTCAATATCAATTTTAATAATATATGTGATACTAATTCAGGAATTTCTAAAAAATCCAGAAAACAAGATCTTAGTCTAATTAGTTGAGAAAATAATTTCACAAATTTCTGGTTGTGAATAGACATATGTATGATTTTTAGTCGATGCAACAATTAATGTCATAATAACTCAATTTCTCAATTTTTTCTTTAGAAACACACAAATTTCATTGGATTTAAGAAACTTATGGTTCTTCAAAACTAATTTCCACATCATAATAAATTCGAGATGACTCAACCAATTTAACCAACAATACACTTAAATGTGATCTGTAAACTTCTGGTTTACAGTAATGCATATGATTATATTTCTAATTTGTTTCAATCCATAGTAAATAATAAAATTATGTATATAAAATATATTTTTAAAAATAGATGGCATATAATTTAATTACAATTCGACATCTAAATCAAATATTTATAAATTTTGATAATAACACAAATTAATAATATTCAATTTTGAAACAAGTATTTATCAATCTTAATAAATTTACAATCGAAAAGATTTGTTTTCTACATATATATATATGTCATAAAAACTTAATACTCACTATGAAAACAAAAATCAAAAATAAAATTATCAAATAGAATAAATTATTATATTGGAGAGAATGAAATCACTATTAAATTCTAAATATTATCAAAAATATTTTTTTAGTAGTTATTGGATTTTAATAAATAAAAAATCTTCAAGAACTCAACAATATTTTTTTATTTTTTATTTTTGAAGTTCTTCGGGAACTCAGTCACAACTCTTTTATTAATAAAAATAATAATAATTGTAATATTGTTCGATCATTCAGGGATGCTTCATATGTTATTCATGAACAGTATAAATTTATTATTTTTTATCCTTCATGTATACTTGATAAGTTTTTCAGAAACTCTATAATAAATTATTAACTTGTTATCCCCTTCAGGGATGCTTGATAAGTTATTCAGGAACTTTATAATAATCTATTAATTTACTATCCTTCAGAGATGCTTAGTAAATTTTTCAGGAACTATATAACAAATTGTTATTTTTTGCTATCCTTCAGGGATGCTTAGTAAGTTCTTCAGGAACTATATACCAAACATATTGTTTTGTAATCTTTCAGGAATTATTGATAATTTAATAAATTATAGTATAGAAACTTACCACAATTTATGA